TAGTGTGTGGTGGAAGGCAGAAGCTGTGGTACTATAGTCTGTGGCGGTACACGATCCCTGCTGTAACATACGGCACTTGTGGGATGGGGGTACTGGGGTGTATAGTGTAGGATGGGGGTACTGGGGTGTATAGTGAGGATGGGGGTACTGGGGTGTATAGTGAGGGATGGGGTAGGCTGAACCAGTGTGTGGGGACTGGGGATGAAGACTGGGGTGTATAGTGTGGGGCAATTGGGGTGCAGGGAATTGGGGCATAGTGAACTGGGTGTATAGTGGGGGGGGTACTGGGGTGTAGTGTGTGGGAACAAATGGGGCTGTATAGGATGTAAGTAATGTGGGGTGTGATGGGGGCACTTGGAAGTACTGGGGTATATGTATAAAACTGGGGTGTGATAGTGGCAGTAGATGGGGGCAGGTTGGGGTGCATAGGGTGTGGGGGTATAGGGGATGGGGTACTGGGGTGTGATTGGGGGCATTGGGGTGTATAGAGTAGATAGTGGTGATGGGGGCACTGGGTGTATAGTGTGGATGGGGGCATAGTGTAGGGATGGGGGCACTGGGGTGCATAGTGTGTGATGGGGCACTGGGGTGTATAGTGTGGGGTGGGGATGGGGTATAGTGCAGGATTAAAGCATTGGGAACGGGGGCACTGGGGGTATAGTGTGATGGGGGCACTGGGGTATAGTGTGGGATGGGGGCACTGGGGCGTATAGTGCAGGATGGGATAGTGTGGGCACTGGGGTGTATAGTGGGATGATGGGGGTGTATAGTGTAGGGTGGGGGACACTAAAAAGTAGTGTGGGGATGGGGGTACTGGGGTGTATAGTAGGATGGGGGTACTGGGGTATAGTGTGGGATGGGGGTACTGGGGTGTATGTATGTGTGGATGGGGGGTGTATAGGGGGCATACTGGGGTGTATAGTGTAGGATGGGGGTAGTGTGAAATGGGGTACTGGGGTAGTGTGGATGGGGGCACTATGGGTGGATGGGGGCACTGGGGTGGCACTGGGGTGTATAGTGTAGGGGGTGGGGTATACTGGGTGTAGGGGATGGGGCACCGGGGTAGCAGGGATAAAGTGTAGGATGGGGCACTAAAAGGGATGGAGGTATGGGGGTACTGGGGTGTATAGTGTGTAGGATGGGGTACTGGGGTGTATAGGTGTAGGGATGGGGGTACTGGGGTGTATAGTGTGAGAATGGGCACTAAAGGCAGGAATGAAATTGGGGTGCATAGTGTGGGACAAAGTATCAGTGTATAGTGTGGGAATGGGGGTGCATAGTGTATAGGCATGCAGGATGGGTGTATAGGTGATGGGGTACTGTGTGTATAGTGTGGGATGGGGTACTGGGGTGTATAGGGGATGGGGTACTGGGGTGTATAGTGTAGGGGTGTATAGTGGGAATGGGGGCACTGGGGTGCAGTGAGGGATGGGTACTGGGGTGCATAGTGGGAAATGGGGGCACTGGGTAGTGTATAGTGTAGGAATGGGGGTACTGGGGTGTATAGTGTAGGGTGGGGGCACTGGGGTGTATAGTGTAGGGGGGCACTGGGGTGTACAGTGGGGTGGGCCTGGGGTGTATAGTGTAGGATGGAAGACTGGGGAGAGAGGATGGGGTACTGGGGGTGTATAGGTAGGAATGGGGGCATTGGGGCGTATAGTGTGAGGAATGGGGGCACTGGGGGGTGTATAGTGTAGGTGGGATACTGGGTGTATAGGGGAATGTATAGTGTAGGAATAGGGGGTACTGGGGTGTATAGTGTGGGATGGGGTACTTAAAGGTATAGTGTAGATAGTGTAGGAATGGGGGGTACTGGGGTGTATAGTGTAGGATGGGGGCACTGGGGTGTATAGTGAGGATGGGGCAATTGGGTATAGTAGGGGATGGGGTACTGGGGTGTATAGTGTGGGGGCACTGGGGTAGTAGAATGGGGGCTGGGGTGTATAGTGTGGGATGGGGGCACTGGGGTGCATAGTGTAGGAATGGGGGCACTGGGTGTGTATAGTGTGGGATGGGGGTGTACTGGGGTGATAGTGTAGGATGGGGGTACTGGGGTGTATAGTGTGTAGGATGGGGGCACTGGGGTGCAGGTGAGGATGGGTACTGGGGTATAGTGTAGGATGGGGTACTGGGGTGTATAGTGTACGGGGTACTGGGTGCCTGGGGTGGGGGTACTGTGTATAGGATGGGGTACTGGGGTGTATAGTGATGGGGGCACTGGGGTATAGGGGATGGGGAAACAAAAATAGTGGGGTGTATAGTGTAGGATGGGGCTGGGTGTATAGTGTAGATGGGGGGCACTGATGTATAGGGGTGTATAGTGTAGATGGGGGCACTGGGGGTGTGGCGGGATGGGGGGTACTGGGGTATAGTAGGATGTGTGTTTAGGATGGGGGTGACTGGGTGTGTATTCCAGTGTGTAAAATGCTATTCAAGCTCATAACTTTCAGGGAGACGTATTGACATGATTTAGAACCCACCCCACCACCCCACCACCTCTACCAACCCACCCCCACCCCTACCCAACCTCAACCCCACCCAACTTCACCTCATTCTCACTGCCTCACCCACTCCACCAATCCACTCCACACCCCACCCCACCTCACCCCACCCAACCCCTTACCCTCTACCCCCACCCAACCCCTTTACCATTTTTACCCACCTATTTTACCACCCCACCCCACCCCACCAATCAGTTTATTTCATCTAATGACTAAAGACCCTAATGCATTCTGTGGGGGGAGGGGGTTAGGTTAGGTTAGTTTGAGTTAGGTTAGACTGAGTTAGGTTAGACTGAGTTAGATTAGGTTAAATTGGGTTAGGTTAGACTAGGTTAGGTTAGGTTAGACTAGGTTAGGTTAGGTTAGACTAGGTTAGGTTAGACTAGGTTAGGTTAGGTTAGGTTAGGTTAGGTTTGGTTAGGTTAGGTTAGGTTAGCATTAGGGTGTTGAATCATCAGGCGAAATAAACTGCTAATAACTTTCAAGAATAAGTCCACTATTGTTTATCTACATCCTGGGCGAGGTGATAGCGAAGCAGGGATAACATTACCACGTCACGATAACCAGTGTGATTAGGAGTGCCAGGTGATATCTCGCTATTGTTTTTTGTAGTTGATATTCTTGTACATGTTTTGTTATTGTTATTGATTTTTATTGTTGATATCTTGTTGTTGTTGATGATATCTTGTTGTTGTTGATGATATCTTGTTGTTGTTGATGATATCTTGTTGTTGTTATCTTGTTGTTGTTATCTTGTTGTTGTTATCTTGTTGTTGTTATCTTGTTGTTGATGCCTTGTTATTGTTGATGTGTAAGGTGTCACAAAATACATGTTTCACACCATTTAGTTCGTGAATAAATTTCTGAACAAAGATAAAGAAATGTTTAAATCATTCTGTAGATCTTTTGTATATAATGAATAACAAACACCAATGAGTCTGAAGAGTTTATTTAGTCTTCATTTTGTAGCTAATAACGAAAAGACAAAATGGCACGATGTTAAATTCTGTATTTTTTTTTTTACGGGTATTAGCCAACCCGGGCACAGGGCCTTGGGGGATGCAATAACAGTAGTAATAATAATTCATGTTAAATAAAATTTGTAATACAAAATACAAAATTAAAAATAAAATAATAAAGTAATAATGATAACAATAATAGTAATAATAATACTCATAATAATAATAATAACAGTAATAATAATAACAATAATAATAATAATAATAATAATAATAATAATAATAATAATAAACCATAAAGAAAAAAAGATCAATAGTGAGAAACAATATATGTTTGTTGTGTTGTCAAAGTACGAGAAACAATTGAGACCCTGCAACTGTGTAAATGAGGCAGAAAGTCAGATCAACAACCTGGGACTTGGTCACAATTTTCGTGATGCCATATGGCAGCAGGGTCTACCATTAGACAATACATTATGCTTCCAATATCTTCCCAGGCGGTAGTACCTCCCTGTTTGGTAGCTGCCTACTACCTACTGCCTGTATGATATGTTAAAGACAAAAACTGCATAATGTTGTAACTTGTTTAATGTATAATAACCAGGAAAATTAAGAAGACAGTATTTGGGTTCACTACTCCAGGTTTACTCCGCACTTGTTCACTCCTTAATTGTCGCTTCTCTGCTGCCTCCACTCGTAGCCTTTTCCTTTTTTCCGACGTTCGAATCTCTATCCCCGGGAGCGCTGAGGGGGAAGGGGGTGTAGGGGGGGCAGAGGAGGGGCACAGATTCTTCAGCTTTTGTGTTTCACCTTTTATAAATGTATTTAGATCACAACAAATTAATATAACTCATTAGTAATGGATCCGAGGCGACACTAAGCTTGACTTGCAGAATCGACAGGTGACAGGAGTTTGTTGTGTCGGCGTCGTAATTACTGTCTGACCAAGTGCCGACACGAGAACACATTGTTATAGGTCAATCAGGATACAATTCTCACTTCCCCCTTTCCCCTCCCCCCCTCCCCATGTAGTTTGCTCCAGGGAGGGTAAACTTCAGTGAGGTCATGGTAGAATGTGCGTTGGCTATATGATTTTAATCTGACCTTACATGACCTGAGCACAAAATGATACCTAGAAGTATTCATGTTTTATATTTTGTTAACCTAACGGTTGTAGGAATGGGAATGGGAATGTGAATTCTTCAGGTGGAGCAGGCTAGGGTGGTGATTCTTCAGGTGGAGCAGGCTGGGGTGGTGATTCATCAGGTGGAGCAGGCTGGGGTGGTGATTCTTCAGGTGGAGCAGGCTGGGGTGGTGATTCATCAGGTGGAGCAGGCTGGGGTGGTGATTCTTCAGGTGGAGCAGGCTGGGTGGTGATTCTTCCAGGTAGAGCAGGCTGGGTGGTGATTCTTCAGGTGGAGCAGGCTGGGGTGGTGATTCTTCAGGTGGAGCAGGCTGGGATTCTTCAGGTGGAGCAGGCTGGGGTGGTGATTCATCAGGTGGAGCAGACTGGGGTGGTGATTCTTCAGGTGGAGCAGGCTGGGGTGGTGATTCTTCAGGTGGAGCAGGCTGGGGTGGTGATTCTTCACATATCTAAACTTAAGGGTGATCTCAATATTCCTTCTCCTCCTCCTCCATCCCCTACACCTTGCTGCATCTTAACAATTCTTTCCAGTGGCAGCAACCACCTGTTCTATCTCTTCGTAAATATGGGATTCCATTTCATTAGTGACATCATCGTAGGGTGTATACTCCATATTCTCAGGAACTGGAAGAGTCTGAAGCTTTTGGGGCAATCCTGTTTTCTGTAACTGCATTAAAGTGAATAAGCATCAGGTATCGTAAAGCGAATATGATCATAAATAGAATAGGCTTTATGACAGCTACTAGCAATGTTAACTTATTTATATTCTCTATGATTATTGTATCTCTTATCCTTAAACAATATTATTAATATATCTGTTACCTGTATCTAATACCGGTACACACCTGAACCTCACCTAACAAAGCAACACACCTGACCCTCGCCTAACAAAGCAGCACACGTCACCCATCACCTAACAAAGCAATACACCTGACCCTCGCCTAACAAAGCAACACACCTGACCCTCACCTAACAAAGCAACACACCTGACCCTCGCCAAACAAAGCAATACACCTGACCCTCACCTAACAAAGCAACACACCTGACCCTCGCCTAACAAAGCAACACATCTGACCCTCGCCTAACAAAGCAACACACCTGACCTCGCAACACACCTGAAACAAAGCAACACACCTGACCCTCGCCTAACAAAGCAACACACCTGACCCTCGCCTAACAAAGCAACACACCTGACCCTCACCTAACAAAGCAACACACCTGACCCACACTTAACAAAGCAACACACCTGACCCTCGCCTAACAAAGCAACACACCTGACCCACACTTAACAAAGCAACACACCTGACCCTCGCCTAACAAAGCAACACACCTGACCCTCGCCTAACAAAGCAACACACCTGACCCTCACCTAACAAAGCAATACACCTGACCCACACTTAACAAAGCAACACACCTGACCCACACTTAACAAAGCAACACACCTGAGCTCTGACGAAAGTGTAGTGGCTAATGAAGAGAATCAAGAAGGCTGTTGTGACGACGATCAATGCTACTGATAGTGAAATGATCATGATCTCTGCATTCGTATCTGTAAGAATAGTGAAGATGTTAACTCACTGTATGTACACCTGTACTGTACACCTGTAAGAGTAGTGAAGATGTTAATTCATTTTATATATACCTGTACAATAACACTACCACAACACACTACACCAACACAATACCACCACAACACACTACACCATCACACTACACCAACACACTACACCAACACAATACTACCACAACACACTACACCAACACAATACTACCACAACACTACCACAACACACTACACCAACACACTACACCAACATAATACTACCACAACACACTACATCAACACAATACTACCACAACACTACCACAACACACTACACCAACACAACACTACCACAACACACTACACCAACACACTACATCAACACAACACTACCACAACACACTACACCAACACAATACTACCACAACACACTACACCAACACACACACCACCAACTTACACAACACACTACATCAACAATACTACCACAACACACCACATCACCAATACTACCACAACACACCACAACACACTACACCAACACAACACTACCACAACACACTACACCAACACACTACACCAACACAATACTACCACAACACACTACATCAACACAATACTACCACAACACTACCACAACACACTACACCAACACACATACTACCACAACACACTACATCAACACAATACTACCACAACACACTACATCAACACAATACTACCACAACACTACCACAACACACTACATCAACACAATACTACCACAACACTACTACAACACACTACACCAACACAACACTACCACAACACACTACACCAACACAACACTACCATAACACTACCACAACACACTACACCAACACAACACTACCACAACACACTACACCAACACAACACTACCACAACACACTACACCAACACAACACTACCACAACACACTACACCAACACACTACATCAACACAACACTACCACAACACACTACACCAACACTACCATACTGTACTTACCAAGAGGTGTTTGCGAGTGTACTATACACAAGACAGCGGACATCACCAAAAGTACATACACAACCTCCATTACTATGTCAGAGTGCACACAGCGGCGCCGACGGAATTACTGTAGTGGGAGGAAGGAAAGTGTAGGAAGGTTGACGGTGACACACCAGAAAGGATATGACATGATAGCTGTGTTTTCCTCTCTCTCTCTCTCTCTCTCTCTCTCTCTCTCTCTCTCCCCCCCTTCATCCACTTCGTGCATATAGTGTCAATACTCGGAGGTTTAAGAACGCATTTGACTTTACATGTACTCATAACTTAACCTAACCTAACCATTTAACTCATAGAAGAGAGAAAATCATCATTTAATATGGTACTGAATATACTCTGAGACTCATCAATAACTAGTCAGGTGAAGAATATAACGCAGATAGTCAGGTCAAATCTGTAGCCGCAACTTTAGAGAAAACGTGAACATGCCCCGGCACTGCACTCGACCACCTTCACTTCCCCATCTGTAACGTTAGGTGCTCGTACACACCTGGGTGGAGGAGTGGCCGGAGTTGAAGCAACTACCTTTAGAGAGGAAGCATGACTCATATAGCGAGCAGTGTGGTGTGGCTTTGCTGTAATCTTATAACACAACTTTTGTTTTTGTTTTTTGTAATATTAAGTTCGTGATTATTATGGCGATAACTAAGTTCACACTTATTCTTCATTCGTATCTGTTTCTTCTACAGCTATTATGATTTCTAAACTGAATATAAAGCTTTAAGGATAACAAAGCATTATATATACAGGGTATATATCCAGGTGAGGTGGTATGAGTGTGGCAGGAGGGTGTTAACGGGTGTTCTTGGCTATGTACAATAGCGCCATTAGAGTCTGGGAGGTGGAGCTAAATTGTGAAACATGGGCAATATCCTTGGGTGTAGTGAGACGATCTTCACCAAACCACTTCATGCCAGTGTTGAGTTTCACGGCCCCATTCCCCTCTCTGATATGAACTCACAAAGATCATAAAACACGGCCTTCATTACCTGGCGGCGATGACCCCTCCTTCTCCTCCTCCCCCTGTTGACGACCCGTGGTAAGGTGTACACGAGATGACAAGGTGGTGCAAGTTGTAAGGTTTTTGATATACAACTTTACTTAACTCCTCCTCCTCCTCCTGGTGCACACAACATCAGAGCTCTCTCTCTCTCTCTCTCTCTCTCTCTCTCAAGTGCAACGAAACTACCAACATTAATTTTTTTTTAAGAACTTGGAAAATATCATAGTATAGAGTGAGTCTGGGTGAAGTTAAGGGAAAACAAAAGATGAAAACACACGTATGGGGGGTGACCTGTGGTACCTTATTAAAACAGCCTGTAGGTAGTAAGTGTCTCGGAGCGGAGAGTGAGACTGGTGGGTGAAGGGCGTAACCCAGCCATCAAAATAATCAACACAGCCTCCCCCAAAAAATATGGACCAGATAATTGATGAAATTTCCTTTTAGGGTTTGGTATTTAAATGATGAAATCTTGTGGTGTTGTAATATAGTATAGTTATTTTAATGGTATTTCATAAGTGAGGTGTGTTGAAGGTTCTGTTTTGTGGTGGTGATGGTGTGTGGTGGTGGTGGTGTGTGGTGGTGGTGGAGTGTTGGTGGTGATGGTGTGTTGGAGGTTCTGTTTGTGTGTGGTGGTGTGTTGGAGGTTCTACTGTGTGGTGGTGGAGTTTTGAGGTTCTACTGTGTGGTGGTGGAGTGTTGAGGTTCTACTGTATGGTGGTGTGTGTGTTGGAGGTCTCTACTGTGTGGTGGTGGAGTTTTGGAGGTTTTACTGTGTGGTGGTGGGAGTGTTGGAGGTTCTACTGTGTGGTGGTGGTGGTGTGTTGGAGGTTCTACTGTGTGGTGGTGGAGTTTTGGAGGTTCTACTGTGTGGTGGTGGAGTGTTGGAGGTTCTACTGTGTGCTGGTGGAGTGTTGGAGGTTCTACTGTGTGGTGGTGGTGTGTTGGAGGTTCTAATAAAAGATAAATATCATCAACATCACCAACAGGCTCTAGGATGTAACCATACATTCCTGTCAAGTGTCCAGGCATAAACCCGTGATGGCATTAATTTCTAAGGCTGTAGAGGTCTGTAATGGGCCCCTGTCTCATCAACAGAATATATGATATAAATAAGTCAATACATCTGATATTATATTCAGATTCACCACCCTGTAACTTTCCACTGGCTATGAGGTGACATGTTCAATGCACGTGATAACGTTTATAATACATAAACGCCGCCCCTTTCTCAATCACTCCTATACAGTGAGACTTACGGTCGATCTACACTCAGGAATTATATATACAATCCTTTTATAATAAAACAAGGAACTACCGTTTGGGTTTCGTTACCTAAACCCAAATAATAAATATATGTGAACGGCCTGGTTAATTGCACAAGCAGCCGATTCATATACACAGGGCATCACGTATAATGCCCTTCTGGGGATTAACCTTACTTGGCAACCTGTTCCTGGGTGGCACCGAAGTGGGCGTGGGCGTGATCCCAGTCTCTGTGTTACGACCCTCATCACGGCAGGACCTGGGTGCCTGGATCCAATTACTGGTGACACGTGAGTAAACGCTATACCTGCATGCCTGCCTCTCCTCCCCATCCCCAGCTCCTTCCTCCCCAGATCCTTTCATCTCCAGCTCCTCCCCTTCCCAGTACCTCCCCTCCCCTTTTCCTCCCCTCCCCAGTTCCTCCTCTCCCCAACTCCTTTCCCCTACCTCCCACCCCTCCCCAGCCCCACTCCAGCTACTCTCTTCCCCAGCACCTTCCTCCCCAGATCCTCTCATCCCTGTGCTTCTTCCCCCAACTCTCAATCTTCCTCAGCTCTTTCTCCTCCCCAGCCTCTGCCCTCCTCCCCTCCCCACCTACCAATCTTCCCCAGCTCTTCCCTCACCTCCCAATCTTCCCCAGCTCACCCCTCCCCATCTCCTCCCACTCTCTGCTCCCTCTCTAACCTCCCATTTGTTATACGTCATGTTTACGAGGGATCTGAAACTCAGTGTATCGAGGCCGGTGTAACATACTGTATAGGTCCTCCGGGCAATTGATAGCTGTCCTCTCCTACCCTTGAGTACACGCTGTGACTTACCTCTAACCTAACCTAACCTAACCTAACCTAACCTAACCTAACCTAACCGAACCGAGCCTAACCTAACCTAACCGAGCCTAACCTAACCTAACCGAGCCTAACCTAACCTAGCCTAGTCTAACCTAACCTAACCGAGCCTAACCTAACCTAACCTAACCTAATCTAACCTAACCTAACCTAACCAAACCTAACCTAACCTAACCGAGCCTAACCTAACCTAACCTAGCTTAATCCCTGGTAGTAGTGGAGGGTGTTGGTGATGGTGAACGATAGTGGTAGAGGGTATTATTGGTGGAGAGTGTTGATTGAAGGTGTTGGTGATGATAGAGCAGGGTGTTGGAGGCTTCTATACCCATCTGTGTGTGTGTGTGTGTGTGTGTGTGTGTGTGTGTGTGTGTGTGTGACAGTTGATAACACTGGCCTACACAATGAATGACAGTGAGGGTGAGTGATGACAACAGTTTATGGAGATGAATAACACTCGACTCACTTCACTGCCTGATTCTGCTGTATATCAAGAGACCCCTCTGACTATTTATGTGACTCATTTATGCTACTCATTATTTTAACTCATTATTATGACTCATTATTGTGACTCATTTATGTGACTCATTTATGCTACTTATTATTTTGACTCATTCATGTGACTCATTCATGTGACTCATTTATGTGACTCATTCATGTGACTCATTTATGTGACTCATTTATGTGACTCATGTAAATATTGAGTAGACTTTCCTCCGTGTCCTTATGGTGAGTTAGATGATGAGAATTAACAGTCCTTGTGCACACAGTGGCGGGTGAGGAAGGAAGAACAGGAGAGATGGAGTAAGGGAGAGAGAGGGAGGGAGGGAGGAGGAGGAGGAGGAGGAGGAGGAGAGGGAGGGAGGGAGGAGGAGAGAGAGGAGGGAGGACGAGGAGGGAGAGAGAGGGAGGGAGAGAGAGGGAGGGAGGGAGGGAGAGGGAGGAGGAGGGGAGGGAGGGAGGGAGAGAGAGGGAGGGAGGGAGGAGAGAGAGAGGGAGGGAGAGATCATACCATAAGCAGTAGGAAGGTGAGACGCTCCTAATCACATGACATCCTCCCACCTCTTCCTCTCCCTCCTTCACATCTTCCTCTCACTCCTTCCTCGTTTCCCCTCTCTCATTTTCTTCGTTTTTCCTCCTCCATCTCTACCTCTCACTCCTTCATCCTTCCTTTCTCCATCTTTCTCTCTCTCCCTCTCCTTCCTCCCTCTTTCTCCCTCCTTCCTCCCTCTTTTCTCCTCCTTCCTTCCCTCTTTCTCTCCCTTTCTTTCCTCCCTCTTTACCTTCCCCTGATGACCTGGGCATTAACATATCAGTCTCATTACTTTGTCGATGGCCTTATGTGAGAGAGGGGCGATAAACAGAGGGGAGAGGCTGACAGAGGGAGGAGAGGGGAGGGAAAGGTGATGGAAACTTGGAGTGATGGGGTGGATAGAGAGAAAGAGATGTATATTATGAAGAGTAAGAGGGGAGGAAGAAGAATGAAACGGCATAAAGAGAGAGAGAGTATCACCCGATATTCGACGGATTAATACCTGTTAGAATATTCGACTCTGCAAGGGTGGTATCTCTCTCACACACACTACAGGGGAGGAGGTTAGGAGGCGGTGTATCATTACAAGGGCCTCCTGGCTGATGCTAGAGCACCACACCGGCCATCGGAGTGACAGGCTCTGGGGTGACACGGAAGGAGAAGGAGCTGTCAAGTAGTGGTGGGGGCGGGAGGGGAGGCAGTAGGGGATGGAGTAGTTGGGGGGGGGGTTGTTGTGGGGGTGGTGGTGTTAGGGATGAGATGGTGATGGTGGTAGGGGTGTTGGTGGTAGTGATGGTGGTAGTGTGGGTGATAGTGATGATGGTGGCGGTGGTGGTATTGTGTGGACGGGGAAGCTTTATCTCGGGGAAAAAACACAACACTAATGGTCTTACCTGGAAACTACTGTAC